GCTCAGCTTGCTGTCAAAGAACACAAAAAGTATGTAGTTAAAAAAAGAAATATGTATGAATCCACCCCAGGTGTTATTCATTGTTAAAAAATTAATTTTTTAATTATATTATATATATATATATATATATGATTCCACTAGTATAATAAACAAAAAAGACAAAAGATGATCATAGACTGTGATTTATATTTAAAAAAATAAGCACGAAAGTGTTTTGTTTTATAAACTTTTCTCTGTACACATAAAACATATATAATATGTATAAGCATGGCTGCAAGAATTATGTATTCGAAAGCAAAACCATTTATAAAAAAAATAATATGCAATATTGAATGAAATAGTTAAAAAAAAATAACAAACATTGTACAGGAATATTTACAATAGTGTTAGCAATTAATGTGAATTACATCCGTTGTACCTGTTATGTGTTCCAAAAAGAGAAATGTTGATTTATACTTTCTAATTCTACTGACTGTATAATGTGGGGTTGGTTAGTCAAGAAAATATAGTTTTAAATGTTTATAAAGAATTCTTCTGAAACATTAACATAAAAGTTCTAATGTTCTATTATCAAATGAATTATTTTATATTTTTGGATGATATTAATATTTTACTTTTTATTTTTATTGTAAAAGAATATGCAAGGAAATTGAATGCGTTTAAACAAATGTAAAATGAGAAAATAGAAATGACTTATATATATGTAATATTTTAACCATTTTGGAGTCCCAAGCAGTGCAATTGTGTTTCTTGTGCCACTTTATTAAAACGCAATGCGCAATTGATACGTAGTTTCACTGCTTGAAAATTTGTCGACGCAATTTTTCTAAAGACCATTGGAGATTCAAACAGTTAATATATCATTTTTAAACATATATTAAATACTATATAAAAAAACGAATACAAAATATTTTTCTATTAATTTTAAGATAAGATAATTATATCGTTTAATGATATATTTTGCAATAAAATTATTATTTCATGTTTATTAAATGTCTTTCAAAACAGTTATAATAAACATGTATCGTTGATATAGGTACTAATTTTTTTATTGTATAATATTTGTAAACGAATAATTTACATGGGGTTCTATTGTAATTAAGCGTATAAAAATTTTAAATACTATAGATTAATCTTTTTAAATATTAAGTTGTTTTATTATAGATATTGGCAATAAAGATTTTAATTTATCACTGAAATATATTTTAATTTTCCATATGAGCGTTGGTTCTTTAACAAAATGCCAATATCCATTTCTATTGAATTGTGCATATTTGTCTGCTCGAACTAAAGACTTATAATATAATAATGTAGATTCATTCTTTAATAAATGATCTTCCTGATTAGATATTGTACCAAAACCTAACTTAACTAATTCTTCTGCAATATTTATACGTTCCTAAAAATAATTTTGATATTAATTATATAACAAGCATAAAGAAATGTAATCGTAGACAAAATATTTTTATAATACCTGATTTTTTCCTGAAAACGTGATGATACAATTTAAATAATCCTTTTTTTTATCTAATGGAAGAAAATTAACATTTTTTCCACTAATCAAGCATTGTAACCAACTAATGCCTGTAATAATAGATTTTATAGCGTACAACATAGATGCATTGAACATATATTATTATAACGCTTACCATGACTAGTTGTATTAATTCCTGCTAATTTAATAGGTAAGTACTTGTTTCTGCTAAGTCGTGGAAAAGGTAGCAAAGGTATGTGATCTACCAGAAGCAACGTACCGTGTGCTGGATCTATACGTGTTACGTATCCTTCAAATTCTGTAGTTTTTAGAAAACGGTTTGGTACATCGGATGGTTTTTTAAATTTAGCAAACTGGTTGATAATAAAAGAATAAATATTAGAGATATACAATAGCAATGATATTAAACCATTAAAACTATCTTATACGTACTGGCTTTATTCTGTATAACGCAAATAGTAAACCAACTCCGGCGATGCCATAACTAACAAACTACAGAAGAATAAATGTCAATAAAAATATATTAATAATTTTTATCATATCATATTATATTAAATTACTTTACCTCTACAGCTCGATTATTTTGTTCCATAAAAGTAGTTAACTTTTGGAAGACAACGGGCATTTTTTCTTTATCCATAATTTCGAATTATTTATTATTTCTATTTTTATAAAGTATGTCACCTTTCCCAAATTTTAAGGTTAAGTACACTGTATATACATCGGTTTCGTAACATCTATCATTTCTATTTTGTGGTATAGTTATCAAAGTATTATAAAATAATAATAAATATAGATTTAAAATTGACAAATTTCAAGGTCTAATTAAAAGGCAATTAAAAAAATAACATGCAGATAAGATATATTTGTAATTTATAACACAGCTGTCATATGATCATAAATAAAGATCTAAATTTAATTTATAATAACCTCATTTTAATCGATCAACCAATCAATCGTTACTTAATTGTTTAAAATAATCTAACCTTGATTAATGTATATAAAATATTATTTAATTATTAAATATTAAAGTGATATTCGAAGATTTATCAAATATTAATTGATTTGTTCGCGCACATGGTAAAAAGATGATACGCGCATGCGCCGAATACATTCACTGATTTCACTTTCTTGTCAGCCTAGCGTATATAAGAACACATATACGTATACATTTTGTTCGTGTGTATATGCATGATATTATGTGCACACGTAGCGCGAAAAGTGACCAAAGAGAAGAAGAAGACACACGTCCTTCTAAAATAGTCGTGTAATATCGTCGATTGTATCACAACAAATGCTCTGATTCATTTATTTTCCCTATTCATTTTTCCCTATTTTTTTTTTCTATATTAAAAATTAGTTAGTAAAATTTAAATCGAAAGAATAAACGTTAGAAAAAGATGTTTCGTGAAGGACAATACATAGAAGTGATAAAGGTACTTTATTTATTAACAGCTGTTGACAGCTGTCAAAACTATCACCTTTTCAAATATTCATCAATATAAAAGTAAAAGCTGTGTTTTCAGGCTTCGGACAATTGCGTGGCGACGGTTGTTGTAACTGTGCAAGAGAGAATTATTGAAATCAAGAAGAAAAAGATATCGACCAACAAGTGGCTGGATTTGGAAGATTGGGCAGCCGTTTATAAAATGTTGGACAGAGTTGTTCTGCGTAACTGCAAAAATAATATCAACGAACAATGTTGTAGAAAATTTGAAGGCAATCAATGGAAAAAATTTACCAGACAATTGGAGATTACGTAAAGAAAATATAACATATTACAATTTTCATTCGAAAGAAATACTTTGACGAGTTTATGTCTTTTGTAATGTATTTTGTATGAATGTTAAAAATTAAAATTTTAGGTGTACGATTGAATCATTTGAATCTACCAAAGATACTTCTTTGTTAACTATTAGAGTCAATGTGTCGCCTGCGAAAAGAAAGTTAACCAAGGTTGATACGCATGAACAAAGTTCTGGCGACGAAAAACAAAATTCTAAAGAATTATCAAATAGTTTGGTAAAGAAAGAGAAAGATTTGGAAAAACCTGACAATACTAGCAATTCGCAATTGGAACAATTCAATTATTCTTCTTCTCACCAGCAAGCATTAGAAGAGTATGTGCCAGATGCTCTTATAAAAAAAAATTCTTCCCCTTTAAAGTATATACCAAGTAGAAAAAGTACGTTGCAAAGGATGCAAATACCATGCGAAGAGTATACACCTGTGCAAACGTGCAATGTTTCCGATAACAATGTTCCATATGTACCTAATTCCATTAAAAATTTCAATACCTCTTACGAAGCTTACGAACCTCATAGCATTACTTCTATGGAATTAGTTGAAGAATACGTACCAAATTCTAAAGGTATAAAGCCTTCGGTTGAGGAATACGAACCTAATTTTCGTGGAAAATTAATGAAATTTGACGAAAGTTATGTACCATCTACTGTACAAACTTCCAATGATGATGTTAAAAGAATACAAAAGATAGATAAGTTAAAGTCACGAAGAAAAGGAACACTTACCAGTAAAAAGAAGACGGAACTTTTTTAGTATCAATTAAATTCATTGTATAAAATCATCGTGAAAATTACTTTTGATAAACGCAATACTTTCTAGGCATATATATATATATATAAATATATATAAATAGTTTTATTATAATATTAATAAAAAACTAATTATAACTGTATCGCGCTTTAATAAAATGTATATTCTTCGAATTGGCATTATCAACGATTTTTTTTTAATCCCTTTTCTTTATGTCTACAATTAGAGTCTTAAATTTTTATCAATAAAAAGCCAACTTGATGCATACATTTTATTCATTGTTTTCTTTTGTCTCAGATGTTGGTTCATCGATTAAATTTTTTATTGCTTCACTTTTATTTTCTGTCGTTTCACTTGTCATCTCTTGTTTGTCTGTTACTTGCTGTTGCTCCTCTTCTTCTTTTTCTTCCTTTTCTGCTTCTTTTTCTACTTTTTCTTCTTCCTTTTCTTCTTCCCTTTCTTCTTCCCTTTCTTCTTCCCTTTCTTCTACTTTTTCTTCTTCCTTTTCTTCTTCCTTTTCTTCTTCCCTTTCTTCTTTTCTTTCTTCTTCTCTTTCTTCTTCTCTTTCTTCTTCATCCTTTTCTTCTTCTTTATTTTTATCATTTTCTTCATCTTCTTCATCATCTGTATCATCGTCAGCACCAGGATGAGCAGGAACTTTGTGTACTGGACTACCACTTATTTGCATACTTCCTGGTTTACGCCACATTTTCTGTGATTCCTTATATTAATAAAAAAAGAGAGAAAGAAAATAAGTAATAAAATTTGATAATAAATAAAGTTGTATCTTCGTTCTAGATTATTTACAAAATCTTACCTTCATACCACTAACTTTTTCCATATAATAATCGTAAACAAATTTGGCCATATGTGGCATGTCTTCTATTTCCATTGGAGATATCGTCAGAATAGCATCGTTTAATCTATCGGTAGGATAAGTTTCTTGCGGTATAAGTTGAAGTTTTAAAGGTCGTTGCATCAACTGATTGAATGCGGGAGTAAGTTCAAAACAATTTTTGAAGAGCGATACTCTGGCAAATACGTATAAACCTAATCTTGCTCTTGACATTGCTACAACAAGACGTCTAGCATCCCTCAGATGACCTACTGCTCGTGTTTTTACTAAAGATAATATAATATAATCATTTTGTTGACCCTGATATTTATCTACAGTAGTTACTTTGTTCGGTCGACCTATTAATGGATTATTCGCACATCTTATATTGATTACATCTCTTATGAGATGCTTTTGACCATTGTAAGTAGTTAATATACTAATTTTATCCGCCGGGTAACCCAAAAGACGCATGTACATAAATACAGCTACACAATATTCTGCTTCGGCAAGATTTTGATAGAAATAAGCGCTAGGTTCGCTTTCTCCAACCCCATTGAAATCTTCGACGTTAACCAATTGAAAATCATAAAGAAAACCTGCATTGGCCACTAAATATTCAGGACTACGTTCTACGTGTAACAAATTACCAAGCTTTTTGTATCGCCAATTATATAAATTACAAATACTAGGTCTAGCACGTCCCTGGCCATCTAAATCAACGGTAGGGACACCTAATCTTACGAATCTTGCGAAAAGGGACTGTTCCATATTAGAATATTTCTGGAATGCCATATTTTTAATAACGGGTGGTAATTGATGATGATCACCGATCATTATCCAACGTTTCAAACGATTATAACCATCCTGAGGATTTTGAAGTAATAGTGGAATGAAAGTTTCAATTTCTAATATTTGTGCAGACTCTTCCATTAAAATGTTGTCGTATTTGAAACCCATATCAACAAGTTCACGCCTTTTTAATGCTGCATGCGTACAAGTCATCGCTATAACTTTAGCTTCCTTTACTAATAAATATTTAGATCTATCCAATCCAGATCTGAGTAATTCAAATGCTCTAAATTCTTCTAATTGTGCAAATATTCTTTCGATATACCTACAAAACAAAATATTTCAATTAAATTAAAAATGAATAATATATAAAACAATAAATAAATAAATAAATAAATATATGTACCGGAAACAACTACAAGCGATTTCCATATCTTCCTTGAATGATTTATGTTTAAACAATGGTTGCGGTGCATTATCAAAGAATTTATGGAATGGAAATTCCTCGTCCACAATAAACGCGGACGAGGACGAAGATAATGCTTCTGAAGCTTGTCTTTGTTTAATCCTATTTTCAAAACGTTCCCAACGCGTTTGTATTTGATACATGAAGAAGTGTCCCGCTGTTTCACAAGTGTATGCTACATCACCTTTCACGTTCAATGATTCCTTTAAAAACAGATTAATAAAGTAAAATCAAGCAATTATCAGCATAATTTTCATAATAAATTTAGTAGAAATATTTATATATATATATATATATATATTTACCTGCAGCCTTTGAACTTCCATAAGTAAATCTAAACGTTTAGCCAGGACATAATTAACTCTACCATATCTGCTGAAATCTTTCTCAGTTTCCAATGCCTCTTCTCCATGACCGAGACGTAACAAATGACGTTCGTCAATATCAAGTGCCATAATTTTTTCGAACAATTGATTTAACGCTTGATTCGAATGGGTAACAATGAGGGTTCTTTGATAGGGAAAATTATGATAAAGATTAGATATTATTTGAACTGCAACATCGGTTTTACCAGTACCAGGTGGACCTACAACGAGAGTTAAACCTGGTTGCATTCCAGCTCTGATGGCTTCCACTTGTGTCGGCGTGAATGGTATTTGATTTCTACAATAAATATTAAAAACATACGATCAGATTAAATAAATAAAAAAAGGATGGAGCAGTTGAGATCATCGTTGATTTAAAATAATTATTTTTCAATACTAACTTTTTCGGTTCATTAGCTTTGTATGGACCTCTGCTAGGAGGTACATGAGGTTCAACAATAATCACTTTTTCAATAGGTTCATTACTCTGTTTAGCAATAACATCTTCGAACGTTAATCGGAATGGTCTAACAAGTTTTTCTTCATCGTCGCATTTAACTTTAATTTCATAATGCGGAAAGCTGGATTGTAAATGATTTATATCAAGGAAGGTATCGTTAAAATCCATCATAGATATTTCATTAGGCATTCTGTAAACAATCATGATCAAAATTTTAACCGCATATTGTGATAGAAGAATTTCAATGAAATTATAATGAATAGTTGGGTATATACCTGGAATAACGAGCAGCGCCGGGATCACCATAACCAAGTATGATATCATGAAGCCAGTCCGGAACAACGCATTCTGTATTCATGAGTTCTCTTATAGTTTCTAATACAGCTTTGAAATTATTTTCTTTAGGCTTTCGCCTCATTATTACGTTAAAACCTTCGTAAACGTCTTCGCCACCGTGACTAGCGTTATCCATATCGATTCTGTATTGATTAGAATCCAACCATACTCTGTAAGTTCTTGTATCTCCTGGTAAAATTGGTCTAGGCTCAGGACCATCTTCTATAACTCTTCCATTGGAATCTAACATACCTTCAACTTCACATCCACGTACTGTCGTTAAACCAACTTGTGGTATAAAAGGTAGCTTATGACTGTACTTCGTACCTGTTAATATCAACAAATTAAAATCTGATTTATAATACATCCTCGAATATTAATTTTTTAATGTCCTACAATAATACATAAAATTTTAATCTCACCGATCGGATTTTGTGGTTTCACCGTGATGAGAAAACAAACGTCGTGTTTTCGAAGATTTTCCCATTCTGATTTGATCTCCTTTCGAACGCTTAAATTAATTGTTACATCAGCACGTACTCGAGATGGTCGTTTTTCACCGATATTCGGTTTGGCTACTTCAACAACTGCAAATTGTGTTATGGGTTGTGCCATTCTTGCCCAACCACCGAAATATACACCACCGTCTTCTGCTTGCCTGTGACAAATTATTAGTTTAATGTATTATTTAACGAATTGTATTTCATTTGATTCATTGTTCTTTTAAAATGAAAAACGCGTACCAAGGACTTAATCTGCTAACAGCATCCTCGATATCTTGGCGTATTTCATCTGTAAATAAACATTTAATCGATGTTAATATATATTATTTTTTATTTTTAAATTACAAATTACAATTGAAAACATTATAATACTTACACGTGGATTCCAAACGAAAGAGATTAAAGTTTCGTAAAAGGTAATCGTGGAGTGTTAAAAATTGTAAATTTAATTTTGGCAAAGCCAAACAACCCTCGCCAGAAAAATATTCGGTTGGTACAATGCTTTCGTTCCAAATAATATCCTCGGTTGGATAAAGCGGCATTTCATTTAATTCTTCGAGCTGAGAGGCTCTCCGTTCGTGTCGCGATATCTGAAATAAAAACAAATAAAAAACGGAAGAAATTAAATAAAAAAAAATAAAAAAAAAGGTTTTCTAAAAATATGAAAAACATTGTTTATAAAATTACCAATAATTCTCGAAGAAAATCAATGTCCAAACGATACCAATTCTCACTTTCCTCTCTTTCCTTCGGTGGTACCAAATTCAAATAACTTGCAATGGATTTTAATTCTTCTGGACTGAAAAAAATAAAAAAGGAAAAAGAAACATACATTAATAAAACGATTTGACATAAACGCATATTATTGAGAGAACAAATCATTTAATTAAAAATATTTATAAATCATAATTAAATTATGCATCATATTAGAGATAAACCATTAAAAAACAAGAAAAAAATAAATATTATAAAACAACGATAAAAGAAGGAAATAAAAAATATTAATATATACATATATATATATATACCTGAGAGATCCAAAATGTTTATTAAGAGCATCTCTGGTATCAACACTTGCTACATTAGCCAGGGCAAAGTTTCTTAAATCACGAAACTTGGCGAATACCGCTTTCTGTATCGAAAGAAAAACAAAAGTAATATAATTAAATTATATATATATAATTAATAAAGACATTTATAAATAACATATATATAAATCTTTATATTATTTCTACCTGAAGGGACGTAATTTTAGCGTAATGTAATTGGGTCATATCATGATCGGTCAAAGGATCACCTGTTTCTTCACTTATTTCAAATCTTGCGTAAAATTTCAACATTTCTAAGAGCTGAAACATAAATGGTATGAGATCAATTAATAAATAGATAAAAAGAATTTAGTGAAAGGCTTATTTAAATATTTCATTATATACAATGTTGACTCATCACGTATAAAAACGCGCGCGCGTGTGCGTGTGCACGTAAACAAAAAAAAAAAAAAAAAAAAAAAAAAAAAAAATATATAATAAAACAACACGATGATGATGATGATACGTAAATATCATCTCTAATTATTCATATGAAATAATCAGTTTAGAACTAGTTATTAT